TTAATTATTAAGCACCTCAGAGGGTAGTTACCAAATCAAATCTCCTGATGAGTAAAGTTGTAAATGGAAGATACTTTGCTAACAAAAAGTTGTTTGAGGTTAAGGCTAGAAATGCTGACTCTTGGTTATAGAAAAGTTAATTGGTAGCTAGGAAATCATTGGGGTTAGGGGTTAAGTCCAAGATTAGGGATGGTAGATCTGTGGACATTTGGGATTCTCCTTGGTTCCCAAACGCTAAGTAATTTAAACCCTTCTGCAATTTCCCTAGGGATAGCGAGGGTTAAAAAAGTGAGTGATCTAATGTAGAAAGAGGGAGTAGGCTGGGACATGGACTTAATCTTTCAATCTTTTGGCCCTGAGACCGTGCTTGAGATCCTAAGGATTCTTTTTTCTTCTTGGGGAATGAAGGACAAATTAGAATGACATTGGGGTAGTTTAGGGAGGTTTTGTGTGAAATCTGTGTATAAGGTAATGAAGTCTATGTCCAGTAGTACCAAGGGGAAGAAGGGGAGTTGCAGTTACCAAGGCCAAATTCAGCAGATGTGAAAGAGAACCTGAAAACTCTCTATTTTTTATAGAAATAAAAACTTTCTATGGAGTGCTAATATGGGTATCTGAGTACCAAGTGTCAACTAAAACATAAATTGATAGGTGGAGAGGTGATTTGTGAAACCCGTGGAGAGGGGGAAAAGGATGTGAATCACATCTTTTTCTGATGTTCAAGGGAAAAAACATGTTGGAGGATGTTAGGTGTTATCTGGAATAAAGTTGAGGTAGAGGGTGTTGGGTTTAGTACTTGGTGGGCAGAGATTTGCAATATAAGGGGGCTGAAGCCATCATAGACAAAATAAGCTTTTCTACTTATCTTCTATGATGGCTTCGGTAAACTAGAAAGTGTTTGTAAAGAGGCGGTGGATTGAGGAGAGGCTAGTGAAGTGTGCTAGAGATGATAGGTCGAAGTTCAATATGAGGATTAATGTTGTGAAGGTAGAGATGAGAGGGGAGAGTAGGTCTGAGGGGTCAGTGGAGGAAGTTGTTGGTGGTCTTGAAGATCACTTGATCATAACTGTGAGTCTTTGGTCAGCTGGGGAGGGTAGGCTGGGGTTTGGAAGAAGAGCTTGCACAAGTTTGAAGATTGAGCATGTGTGGGCAACATCTAGGGATTTCTCCAAGAGTTCAGTGGAGGCCAACATCACTGCAATCTTATGGTTTCTTAGGAAGGCAGCTGACCATCAATTGAGAAAGATTACCTGCATTCTAAACTGCAAAACTGTAGTAGACATCCCAAACAGATGGAAAAAGCATGAGGATTCTGATGGTGATGCTGCTTTGAACTTCCTTTCTTTATGTCATTTGTTTAGTTCTTATTCTTTCTTCTTTGTTGATTTGCCTTTTAAAGTTAGTTTGTGTATGAATATGAAGACCCTTGAATGAAACAACTGTTGTTGATTTCCTATGGTTGGATGTTGTTCATTTTCTTGCTAGAAATTGATAGAGCGCGCACCTCTTGTGTTATCTACCAAAAACTTTTGGAGAATTGTTTGATGTTGAGGAAGAGACGTCAAAGGGGCTTTTTGCTCGAAGAAGGCTAACGTAGGAAGTCTCACTCCCTACCTTAATTTTTCATTTACAAACCAAAAATCCTCCAGGCTGAAAGCATTGAAGAGTCAGTTTTTGACTGAACAAGCAACGGATTGAGCAACTAGCGCGAAAGCCGTTGCGCACTTCGCGCTCCAGCTTTTTGATGATTCAATTTCTCTTTCTTGGGCGAAACAGAGGATATCTCGGTCGGGGGAGAAAACGGAGAGGCTCGGTGAAATAGACATGTCTGTGAAGATGCGGAGTACGTTCAGTCCCTTCACTCTTTAGGGGCTCTTTTTATACTACCCACTTTACTTGATAGAGCCATCAAAAGAGCAAAGAAAGAAAGAATAAAGGCGCCCTTGGGGTGATCTCGTAGTTCCTACAGTTGTAACATTTGGATATTGTACAGTTGGGTACGGGTGTTCTTTTTTGAGCTAATAGATTTTATCGTTTGTCGT